CTTGCTGTACCCATATGATAGCTGTCTCTTGTGTAAGTTTTCGGTTAGCACTATTAGTTGATGAGAGGTAAACAGAGATGATTCTGAGTTTGTAGTTATATTTAAAGAATAAGTCAATAGCAATTGCTCCTTCTGAGTGGGTAAGTATTTTGTGTATATAGGGTTAGATATAATTGCATAATATTATACATGTTCCTTCTTTGGCTGTTGGTAAGTTAGACCAATAGTATCTGTATTGTTGAGTATTAAAGAATTTTGTAGGTGTATTGCTAGCAATTTTGGTTTCTGTTAGGCTAATAATATGTAAGTTGTTAGTTAAACAGTAGTCTTCCTATAATAGTCTTTTTTTATGCACATTGTATCCTTGTATATTATGTGTTGCTATATTTAGTTTAAATGTAGAATCTTGTACACTATTAGGTAGTGTATGTTGAGTTTGTTGATAGTTAGTATTGAGGGGAGTATTAGTAGAGATTAAAGTATATTCAGATTCATGAATGTGGGGTGTGAAATGATTAGAAGAAGATTTTAAAAGTAATTGGTAATATTTAGAGTATTAGTGGATTATATATACTCTAAGCATGGTTTTGCTGTGTACTTACCCATATTAGTATCTGATGCAGGATCTAAATCATATAAAATGTATTGTTATTTTCAAGACCGAATCCAAGACCGAGGATCGGACCGAACTTAGGGTGTCCAGAAGTCTGCTCACTCTAAAAATATTTTTTTGTATTGTCTCCATAAGATACACGTGACTTTAATCATTTTTTAAAAACTAAATACAATACAAAAAGATATTTTTAGAGCGAGCAGAATCCTACCCTGTGATCTTGATATAGTGATCAGGATTATTTACATAATAATTTTTCCAGAACTATTTAATTTCATTTTTTAATACAGAATTAATTATATCGTCAATTCATTCTGTGAAAAATAAAAAATGTCTAATTTAATTTTTTATGCAATAAAAATGACTTGAATTATCGTTATCCGTTTTTCTATTAAAATTATAAAAATTAGGCTAATGGATATCCGTATTTAATTTTTTTAAAAGTTTTTGATGCCTAACTCAGCTCAAGCATATCGTGAATATTTAGAGGCTCGAAAGCTATTTAAAGCAGAAGAAGCTAAATATCTGCTTGTTCTATTTTAACTATTGCGATCTGTTTCTGAAGAATCAGATTATAAAAATGCTTTTGTAACATATGATAAAATTAAAGATGAAGGTAATGACAATTTCAAATTTCAAGTCAAATTTAAAATGGGACTACACTTGCTTGCTGGTGCTGGTTGTAAAGAAAATATTGCAAAGGGTGTAAGCAATTAAGATCATGAGAATAAAAATGATTATGGTGCAAGCGAGGCAAAAAAACTATTACCAGTGTGAATTTAACGATGATGGATATCTCTTGTTAATTACTTTGAAATATAGCTAAATTTTATTTAGATAGCAATTAAAAATAAAAATTACTTGTTTCACTACAACCCGATCATAGGTATCAATTTTCCCACGAAAACTACGCAGACACGATCATGTGGGTACCCCTATATTAAGAAAAATCCGGGCTGAAGACTCTGGATCTAATACAGTCACTGGATCCCGAAATATAGCAAACGCGCTGCGCAACATAGTTGCGCTAAAATCAGGAACGCGATGCAATTAAATTTAATCAAGAATATGCCTTGTGCAAGATAATAAATTTCATAAATCATATAATTACTGTCAAGGAAAAACTTCAAACCGGAAATTTAAATTTATTATTATTATATCAAGAACGGGGCGATATATAATATCACGAAGTATATGGTTCATATGGCATTTTTAGCGATGCATTTTTCGCAAAATTTCAATTGATTGGACTATGCATTAAATGCAATAAAACGTGAAATTCTGCATTTAGACTTCACGATATTGTATCACATAGCATTATATTCGTATTTAATATGATGTTTAACTATACGTACTAACTTGTATCTTTATCGACAATATCATTATCCCTATTTTAGAATATCGTGTACATAATATTATACTTCCTAGAACTATATGCAATTCAATCTTT